AGGGTATGCTTTAGGGCATGGCTACCTTGTGATTCACTACCACAGTGACCTGTCATTCAGGACAGAGGTGACTCATAACCACTGCATTGTGTACATAACTAGCCCGCACTTGCTTTTTGGGTGCTGTCTGTGTTTTCCTCTAGGAAATTTGACCTTTTTGCAGTGTGTTTTTTAGTTCATGAAAGTCAATTATAACATTTGGGTCACCTAAAAATGTCTTGTTCACCGGTTCTACTAAAAGACACTCCAAGGAGTCCGCTGTTTTTTTCCCCGATAAGTACATTTTGTTTTAAGCATGTTTTTTGCTAGCCAAAATTAGCACCCCAATTAATATCCCAGTTAACATGAATGATGGATGCACTGTGCTACCCAAGCTAGCTCGCTAATAACTATGATGGATGAAATGTACACTCACCAGCATACTAAGTTTAGAGAGAATCAAATCCATGGCTACATCACACCTCATTCCTCCCCATCGCCATCCTCTTGTCCAAATATGGTTATTTCTGGTTCCAAAAAACACAAAAAAACCCCCTGAATTGGCAAAAGCCAAAATGCCAAACTCGAGGCTTCAAAATGGTAGTTCACAAACCAATGGGTGATGTTACAATGACTACTGTTCACTTCTTTTATACAGTCTATGGCTAGTGCTGTTATTTAGACCAAATTTGCATCAAGACGTACAATATTACAGTAATTTCACAATATAAATAAATACATAAACTTCCCATTTCTAATGACTACACTGACACATCTCTTGTAAGACACAAAAATTAATCCATATTGACTCAACCCATAGTACACATAGTGCTACAATATGCATTTTCATGCCCATTCAAACTTCCTGAGCTGGATATACCCCATGCTCTTTCTGCCCATCAGATAGATTCAGGATCACCCCTGCTGCTGACCATGCACTAAATTATTCAGTTGAAAATAAGTCCACATTAAAAATGCATTGACTCGCAAGAGTAAGACACTATAGAACAAACTGCAGTGCTAAACATCTAGGAAAGGGATCAATGCATAAGAGTTTGTGTCATTTGCAATGCTAATTTTGATCAAGTGCTTTCAGAACACAGGTGACAGTAACATTTACTGTGTATAATGAATTTTAGTGAGACACAAAGAATGAATATAAAGTAAAAACAGAATGAGTGAGGCATCAAGCCACACAATATTTCTTTTGGAAATGGAAGCTATTGGTCCATGAATGCAGGTAGCTGCACAAATGGCACACTATTTCTACAGATGCAACAATAAGTGTGTATTCAATCACGTCTATAAATATGAGATGCTAAAAAATGTACACATCAAGTGTATTGTCACAACATTTCACAACAGAAAGCTATGCTGGCTCACACTATTAAGGTGTACAAGTTAGGCTACAGAGGCTAATGAGACATATTCTCTCACACACACACACACACACTCAATTAAGTCTGCAAAGCAAACTGACCAACCAATGTCTCTCGATCTTGGAAGAACAGGGGATAAAACAATCTCTAAACCACATCACAATCAAAACCTTTCTTAAAAATGATGATAGAATTATAAGGTTTGTATTTAATATGTTTTTGGTTGCTGGTTTACATAATCCAGCCAATTACGCTGCAGTTTGTACAATGCTGCCAATCTGGCAATGGTTTGCTGGCACACAGCTGCTGAAAAACACAAAGTGACATGACTGGTTTGGAAAAGAAAGAATGAACAACTAGCAGAACCGAAGAAATTTAACACAACAGTTACCTTGAACTCCCATTTTATTGGCACAAAAAGGTCAAACATCAATTATCCTGGAGTGGTTGAGTGATGACACTCATAGAAGGACAATCTGCAAAGTATGACCTCTGTAGTGCAAACCAAAAAGAGAAAGACAACTAATCTGTTGTGCCATGAGGGAAAGCTAAAATCCCAGTGAGTATACACCATAGGAAATGACTGGTCCCTACACGTATTAATATGCCCTCAGTCAGTGTCCAACATGTTTGTATTAGTTGTTCCTCAGCAGCAAATAGGCCAGTTTTTAAATAAGAAATTTAAAAGGATTGACAAATATACCAAAGAAATGTTTCAAGTGTATGACTACACATCAGTAGGGATCAGCATATGTCAGCAAGTATCATTCATAATGAAGATAAAGGTGCTACAGAGTTTGAACCATCTCTGAAGGTTGCTGACAGGACCAGACAATTGCTGACGCTGGACTTTCAAACCTCCCATGGACCTGTGTGGGGTGGGCAGAGGGGCGCTCAGCAGCTTATTAAGCCAGGTTTAATGGCCTTCACCCTGGCCCACAACCCCAAAGAAGAGTCCTGGAGGAAGAAAGGTCAAAGTTCGTATAATATTAGAGAGCAAGAGGAACTCAGGTGTGGGATGCTTGGCATGGTTTCATCTTTGCATCGACTATAAAAACAGATGGAATTCTGTTAACCAAGACTTTCCCAAGTTTCTTCCCTTGAAAATGTGCTTAAGCTTGCATTCCAAGACAGCCAAGTTTGAAAGCACCACATTCAGTGACCTAAGCCCGCAGCTTGTTTTTAAAGACTTTTGCTTTTATATAAAGGCACAAGGACGTCGAGAGCAAGATGGGTGCCAGATTAAAACCCAGACCATGAGGTTGCGCAGCAGACACCCAAGGAGGACCGCAATTATATATTTTAGAAAAGAACACATTAATGTACTCCACTTAGCCTACATTACTGTCACTGAATGTGACATTCAATAAATGTGGCAGCATTTACATTTTAATAACAGCAAACTGTGAGACATTTTTCTGCATGCTGCTTTTATCATTGGAAATCTTTAGCAATTACTTTGTGCTGGTATCGACTTATTTATTCCTGCACACAGTATCAAGTAGGTTCCTAAAGCAGGATTTGGTCTATATAACTTCACATTTAATCTATAATATAAATTGTTTTCATAAAGGATTGGGATTCATAAAGCAACAAAACACACAAGTTTTGCCCTTCCTGATCATATTTCCATTGCTGACTTTCTGCTCCCTTCAGTATCTCCTTCTTTTCTTCTCCAACCATCTCTCTCCTCCACTTGCTTTACCCTCTCACCACAATTCTTCTATTCTCCCTCACTCTGCAATCACAGTCCCCACCATCTCCTTCTCTGCTCTTCAGAGGTGTTATGGACGGCTAGATCGGGAGAGTACAAGCAAAGCAATAACGCCTGTTGTGAAACGGCCATGGGATCAATGGTGGATTTAAGGATGCAGAACACGTAGCCACAGCTGGTCAATTAGAGAAAGGACAGCACAAGCACAGACACACACATATACACACAGTTAAAGTGGCTGGCCTTTAAAAAGAAAGCAACTTTTTGGCTCTCGTCAGCTCTTTTTCTCCAGCTTCAAATGGATCAGCATGAGGGAATCTTGGCTGAGATAATGTCATTGGGTGTTGGTAGTATAACACAAGAAACATTGTTGGTACTATAAACATAAGAAAGACTATTTTGATGGAAAATGTTAGAGCCACGTGCTGAATTGCATTGTGGCACATCTAGTGAGACATGACAATACAACCACTCTTTACTATGGACCACACACATGTTCATGGAGAATCTAACATGGCTTTATGGCACTCTACAAACACCCAGCATGACAAAAGCAGTCCCTGTTAGTGCATTAGATTTGGGAAAAACACACAAAACTCAGAAGAGTACCGAGTCAGAACTTAATGAAGCTCATTAAGCCAAAGAGAAAAAACATTGTGCCATTAAGCATGACGTGAATCACTGACATCAAAATAAGTACTTCTTCCAAGAGTTTAACCATGGGTTATTTGATTTAAAACAGGTGAATCTACCATGTTTTATATTACAGCTTGATAAGAATTCAGGTTATGGTGTTAGTGCACAGTTTGTAACTAATAGAATTTCATGCTGAGTATTTATTCTGTAAATGGAATTTCAACTAGGCTTACCAGCCTCCTGCAGCAGATGTGATGCCAGGCAACACGCATAGAGTCAGAGACAATAACTACCTATAATATGGCTAAAGACACAAACCTGAACCTGTTTTTCCAGTTAGAGGCTGACTGTTCCTGTCCTCCCTTTTCTTTGCTAACCACAAGCGTCTCTAGTTAGTCGGGGGTTCAACCACTACACATGTTATAATAACAATAATATTAAAACATCATCATGGTAATTTGACCATATCACTACCTGCAAGGTAACCCCTAGCTCAGCAAAGACAGGGCAGTGACGATAATCTTTCACATCTTCCCGCATACATTTTCTTTCTTGTTGCCATTCCTTGCAAGTTAAATGTCACCTTTCTTGCAAGTTAGTAGCTGCTTTTACAAGGTGTGTTGCTCACTTTAGCCTAGCAACACAAGTTCACAATTCTGCTTTGCTCATGGTGTTTAATCTTGCAGTAAAAAACTGAGCTTGCAAGATGTACAGCAGCCTGGTTTTACGAGACCATACTCCCTCTTTTTAGCAGGTGTTAAACAAGCATCCGTGGCACAAGACAAGCCGAGGAGGGCCCAATTATCTTGGTCACAACAATCAGCATGTGTGAAGAGACATCCAAGTACACCTGCAATATTTCTTTTTACATCAAAGTATGCAGATTCATGACAGTGATATTCCCTTCCATGAGTCTTTACTGTCCTCCTTTGTGCATTTAATTTCCTTCTATTCTCCTCTCTCCTCGTCCTGGATGTCCACAATACCTTGTGCTGATGCTGAATATTGTAATAATGAATCTATATACAGGTTTACTACCTACACTACATTTCCAATTAGGCATGGGAACACATCATGAAGGAGGAAAGAGACAGACACTTGATAGAGAGACTCACTCTGTCTTCCCTTTATCCTGTTTTTCTTGCCCTTTATTATCATCCTCTCTACACTCCTGTTTCTATTGACAACAGGCTGTGCTTGAGAATAAAGGCACAGCCTTGACTTGATTATCTGTAATGAAAACACTACTCTCAATCCTCTCTTCCCAACTCATATACAGCATCCTCATTCCCTTTTAAATTCTTGCATTTAATCTGTTTTGAACCATTGCATTCATCTTGTATTTACTCAAAAAAATACAACTGATATTGAAAGGACATATAGTACATTATAAGAAAAGATAGAGGGAGAGTGAGAGAGCAGATGCTTGGAGTGAGAATGAAACATGAAAAAACATGCGTCTTTCAGAAGGTAAACAGAAAACTCAAGTAAAAATACTGAATCAATACTAAGTGATTTGCTGGTTTCCATGTATGTTAGATACTTAAAATGTCCTCCATCTATTCACATTCCCTTTCAGTTGAATGGTAAGTTAAAGAGAAATAACAGGAGAACTTCCAATCTACCATCCACTTAAATTGCAAAAACCAAATCAAATGCATTTATCACTGACAACATCCTTCACTGAATTTTCCAGGGAGTGGGATCTAAAAGGAGGAATGCTGGAGCAGCTACTTGTGAGCCAGCCAATGACAGAAGAGATGTGAAGTTGTGTGATCACCTGGAAATGCTTGGCAGCGACATCAAAGTGGGTGATTGAGGTTCATTGCATTTATCGTATCAATGCGTTTACACCTTCTGACCTAAAATTTCTCACACTTTCGTTTAGCAATCCAACCACTGCTCCCATCCACCTAAGAAGCGCTTCTGGAGTTCTTCTAGAAAGACCACAACAAAAAACAAATGATGCAAATCCACACTGCAATATTACGTTGCTGATATTGATATCAGTGACAATATATAAAAAATATAAATTAAATAAAAATAAATATTACATTAACAGTCTATGCTGAAGGAGGTGAGGTAATTAAGAAACATTTGATCACCAAGTTTCTGCAGACATTTGTTCACGCCTATCACAGCTAAGCAGATGGTGTATTGTTCAACTGCAAAAATATTTTACCCCTAGTACATAATCTGTAAGCAAATAATTGGAGGGACATTTTTTTTCAAACTTCACCCTAAATACACAGTATTGATCAGGCACTAAAAGCTCCCTGTATCCCACTTTCAAGTAAAGTGATAAAAAAAAAATTACATAGTGAGTACAGCAAAGACAAAGAAAGCTGTGCTGTTGCTGCACTGTTGTTACTCTCAAACAATGTACAAAACCACAAAATATTTTGTACTTTGTACTTTCAAGGTTACACTAGATACATTATTTAATGTATTGATTTCTAACGTGAATAAAAGTATTTTCTTCAACTGAAAGTAAGTTCAAATGCAAAATACACCCCTAAATTTGATTTAATCCACGGAAAGATAACATGGCATAGATCTTGAATTAATTTTGCTCCAAGCTACTAGATGGAAGTAATCTCTGAATGATTTCAGAGTGAAATATGAATGAATATGTCATATCATTCAGTGGGCATGACTCTGCAGAGCAGCAATAAAGTTTTTACAGCAGTTTAATTTTTAATCAATGCATGGTACTGCAGTGCCCCCTGCCGATCAAGCAGAATATTTTACTCATTATACCCATACAGTCTGTGGTTATATCCTGAGTAGCCTACTCCTAGTATGTTCAAAAAACATGAAAAAGGAATGTACTTGATAATCAAGAAAATGTAACTCCTTGTCAGCCAGCAGTACAAAAACATGGCTGTACTCTTCTAGCAGGAAAATACTGTTTAAAAAGTGACTGAAGGTGATAAGAAAAATATAAAGGAGTTGTACTGGACTGAAAATTAACTGGAAACCCATGATACTTAAACTTAACGCTTTTGAAAGATTTAGAGCTTTAAAAATTCAGAAATCATGTAATGAGACATCTGTAAACTGTACACAGCATGTTCATGTTTGCCAACCCAGCTGGTTGACGCTGCTTCATACTAATGGGAAAAAAAGGCAAAAGAGCTAGCTTTGTGATCTCCCTCGCTGCTGACAAGTTAAATTTTCACTTGTGGTTTCCTGGAGTGAAGAAGTAACCACACACAAAACTAGAACTTCACTTTAGCGAACACAATGACGAGTACTTTGCTGTATTTGGTATTTATGTTGATAAATCTTCTGAAACTATTGTCAAGTTTAAGGAGTAACATGTCAATAAAACAGTGGGGTTGGTAACATGGAGAAGTTATATAGAGTAGATAATAGGAAGACTAGAGATAATTTTCTTCCCCATCCGCACCACCTTCTACATCTCGTTGTTGTCTTGACCTCTCTCCAAGGCGAGTGACGGGCCATACAATTAACTTCAATTATCCTCACTTCCACCTCACCAATTACATCCATTATTGATTCCAGACCCCCAGGCTGTAAGCCTTATCTATACCAGACCACAGCCCCACGGAAGAGAAAGCAGAACAGGACCAAATAATAGGACCTTGGTTCATTAACACACTCCAGCTTCTCAGTTCATCTTTGTCACCTCATCATCTACTTGACAGAAACTGCTTCCCACTGTGGTGCCCTTGAGAAATAAATTTCTAATGCAAAACTAATGCAAATTCAGTACCTTTTAAGTAGCCACAGCTCGGCTAAGATGATCTATAGACCAGAAGTTAGTTACCAACACATTTTATACTTAAAGGGTCACCAGAGTCACAAAGCCAAATGTAAAGGCAGGCAAACAATATATCCAATAGCTGGATTTTTGCCAAAACAACACAACAAATTCATATGAAACTCTCAACAGGGTTCTGTAAGCAACAGTGTTAAGTATACCCATCTGTCTAACCCAACTATCTGACCATAGTTTGTACTTTGTGTAGCATTAGGAGACATTGTGCAGATACATATGACGTCCTGTCTGCATATGTTGAAAGAAAAGACCGAGGCATTACAGTGGACAGTGTAGTATGAAGGTCAGTTACACAGTATGGAAGCTGTAAAATGTGGAGTCACACTCTGCGGCTCTCCTGCCAGATTTTTGAATATGATACTTGCTGACATTTAGTGAGACACAAACATAAGCTCCTGTCACCATACACAAATGTAAAACATCCATCATCTTGAATACACGCCAGGGCACCTGCGGAGAGCTGCATCTATGATGCCTCGTTGCCATCTCCTGTTACAACAAACTTTGAAGGCAGAGTTCCAAGTACAATTTGTAATGCAACGCTGCCCTCTTGAGGTGTGTGCTGCAAATTGTGTAGCATTCAAACTAAAAGGTTTACATATACTACAGTAGGAATATAATACAAAGGAAAGGTATGAAATCACCATAAACTTACATTTCTATCCTTTCGGTCAGCTTTTCCATGGAATTTGTCACCTTGCAGCATCACTGAAAGTTGTCCATCACACCTTCTGTCCCTTATACCTGTTTGGAGTACAAAATGGGTGAGGTTTTTAGCATTCAGGCAGTCCAGTAAACTTCAAATATACATTGCTTCCTTTACTGAAACAGAGACACACTAGGCTACCTTTAGATATTATGTATATTATGAGATTAAGAGATTTTGACTTCCAAATTCATTTGACATCCCTTTCACATTTAGTAGCATGGCCTATTTGTATCTCAAAAATGTTTGCAGATAAAATGAAGACAGTTTTGTCAACTTTCATTTTAGTTTTTGTAAGCATCATATTCACCCAGTTGCCAGTTTATTATGTAGGCCTACACTTAGCCTAGCTACAACTATTGCAGTCTTAATACAACAGTCCTACCTTCCTGAAGGTTATACTGGTTAAAACTTTTAAAGGAGGCGTCGATCAACTTTTTGATAATTCTGGAGGCTGCAATTTGGGGATCTGTTGAAATGTATTGTTTATACGGACAGCAGTTTCTATTATTTTGCCTACTCCATTTCTATCAATGAGGGTAGGCTAAAAGAAACACCTCTTTAAAGCACCACAAACGGAGCATAAAGTTGAACCAACACCTCTCTGAAACAGTTTCCACAAAAACTGAACATTATCATCTTCATGAAGTGGGGGTTTAATGCAGAACTGTTGTAAGTTACTAGACTGAATTAATGTAAACTAGGTGTACCTTAAAAAAAACACTGGAAACTGGAGATGTACATATTTACTACCCATTATATGTAGACCCCAGTCTTTACATTTTTTGTGTGAATGTTTTTGAACAAAAAAAATGTAAGCAGTTCACTAACTCTTGGAAAAATCAACATGTTCTTGTGTAAAACAGTACAGTGTACTTGGAGGACACAGGTGTTGATAATTGCAGTTGGAAAGCTTTGTTTTGGTCTAGCGTCAGTTGTTCTTCATTTGCAGTGAAATTTCCCAAATTAAAACATTAATCTTTTTTAAACACCAAGTAACTACTATCAACATTTTTAAATGTTTGGCTTTGTCTTTGGAATTTACCACAACTACGGTGTGCAGCAGCTTCGTTCAACGTGAGAGTCGGAAGAGGCGTGGTTTGCTATGTCTTATGCTATGTTCAAGAACCATCGGAAATATTACACACAATTTACGATGCATAAATGACCGATCTGGATTTAAAAAAGGCGAAAGTAGAAGGGGAAAATGTATGACATCTACGTTTTTACTAAATGTGAAGTGTAGCAAATGGAAACATGCAAACAGAGTCTGCAAATGTTGTCAACGTTATTTTTTTTTAGAATTTCCCCTTAAATGCATTATGTAAAACACGTAAAAAAAAAAAAAAAAAACGTCTTTGTGTATGAAATGTAACGTTATATCATATTTTTATGGTTCATATTTCCGATGTTGCTTTTATATTTCCTTTACTTTATGAATATTGTTGGTTTTGCAACAACTGCAAATACATTTCAGACAACAGCATAGACTGTTTATCAGAAGAATCTACTCTTTTGATTAAACAAAATGGGGGGAAAAAACAAAAAAAATAACCACGAAGGGGAACTTCAAAATGCACATCTGAATGTGGCAATTGTGGCGCTGTGAGAAAGAAGCTCAGGAGGGGCACTTGAATGCATCACTAGTGCAGTTCAGTGTTGTGTGCGCTCTGTCCGCTATGTTTGCTGTGTTTGCTGCTGGCTCCCCTCTGTCCTCCATTAGAGCTCGGCTCCATCCCCGCTGTACGGCGCAGGCCCGAAGTAGCGCAGCCGCTCTGAGGTTAGTGCCCTACCGCGCAATCTCCATTTATTTCAGCCCCGGCGCAGCCGCATCATCGAACCCGGCAGCGTTGGGGTGAAAGATGCAGATTGTTTAGATGTTGACTGGAGCAGAGTTATGATACATGTATGGATTTTTGTGGCGAAATCATGTTCTAGGCGCGTATCGACAAGAGAGTAGAATAGCTGTGGATGAGACACAGGCCGCTGGGCCTGTTGTAGCGCTCTGTTTTGTTTAATATTGCGCGGGTTTCATGCTAGCTGCTGCGCTACTAACGTTAAGGTTTACCTTCATTGCACACTGAATTATAATCTGTTCAGTGTCCGAACATCACGAAACTGCTTCTGTTCTCGATTAAAATTAATGTCCATTCAGATGACCGAAGCTGCACCGCCAAATGGTTAGCCAGCTAGCTTATTAGCCAAATGTAGGACATTGCTAGCTTATGTTAGCTCAGTTTGGCAGTCGTTGTCAACGGGAAAGTCGACAAACATTACAGCACTGTAACGCTTGAGCAATAACGCTGCCTGTTTAATAAATTGAACTTTACGTGTAGTTATGCTTATTGATAGGTACTGTGGAAATTAGCCTCATTGCAGGCCATGGATATGATTTAACGCCAATGTTATTGTCGAGTCGTGCACCGATTCATTTATCATCCCATTCATTGATCCTATCAGCAGCTACAGTCAATAGAGTTGGTACAGGGAATATTGGCAGCAAATAAACCTGTGTGGCTGCAGTTAGTGGCTGCATTTTGACTAATGTTTCGTGAGTCTGATTCAAAGAAAAAACTAGCGTGTTTTAGACAGACCTGTCCAAATAAATATTCCTTATATCAGCTGCCCACCATGAATCAAGTGAGCAGGTTATCCCCATTAAACTGCCTCAACGGTTTTTTTACTCAAAAAGCTTTTCTACATTGACCATACATTGCTAGACTCATGGATTTCTAAGTGAACAAAAGTATACTGTATGTGTAAGAACCTTATTGTATGAGTGATTTTCGCCCCTATTGTAAGACTATGATATCACTTCACAGACAGATGCAATTCACAGATGAATATACAAACACTCTCACTGCCTCAAACTGACGGTGCATTTAGACTTTCTTAATTCCATTTTTTACATCAGAATAAGAAATTCCACCAGTCACTTGAATTTGAAACTGTATTGTGTTTAAAGAGTTCCAAGCAATATGTTGCTTATCTTACAAGTTTGTGAAAGAGCTATGATTAAACACCTAATAAATGGGAAAGTAAAACATTATTTTCATGCTTGATTACAGTGGTATTGGCAAATGAAACTCTATTGATACATTATGAAGCCCCCTAGAGGAATAGCAGCAGTAGTGCAGTCAGTGTACTCAGATAGATATATATATATATATATATATATATATATATATATATATATTCACAATTTTGGGGCACTAGTAAGGAGAATGATAACTATTGTGCACTAATGTACCACCAGTACCTACAATGAAAATAAAGAATGATGTGACAGATGGCTATGATCACAGTTTTGTCTTTAATTGCTTGAGTTTGAATTTCATAACATTTCCATGAACTTGCATTTATGGTGCACTTCTATAAGCTTAAGGTACCACTTAAGCTTATAGTGCACCATAAATGCAGGCAGTATTTCTGATTAATGAATTTTTCACCATGATGTAGTTATTCTCTCAGGATAAAAAAGCACATCCCATTGCAATATAAATAATAGTTTATTTTGAGGACACCTTGGAGTACATTTTACATCAGTGTGTACATGCAATAATATGCATGTAGTTTGCTGTATTTCAAGGGTCAATACAGCAGGAATAACTTCTGTATAAGCTCCATGCTATTATAATGAATAGATGGGATTTACTCAGCCGCCATATAGGTGTAAAACAGTTCCTATCATTATCTTATGCTGCATCCCTACTTTGCATCTTTATCTCCTCAGTCATTGTACCGTGGATCCAGCTGTGTAGACCAGGTGGCTGATAATGGATGAGCACATCGTTCACCAGACAGAACACATGACCACCATCGAGGCCAGCGCCGTAAGCCAACAGGTCCAGCAGGTGCACTTAGAAGCATAATAGATAAACAGAGGAAAATAGGAAGGAAGATGTTTGAACCAGTTTCACTAGCTAGTTAGATTGTTAGACTAGAACAGAAACAGTAACACCTCAGTCAGTTAGTATAAGTACCATGCTATTTTGTTTAAAAAATGTAAACCCATTCTACTCTTTTGGATCTTTACTGTGTATAGGTTCATGTGGCCACCTTTACTGAAACATCGATGATGAGCGCTGAGGAAGACTCAACATCCTCGCCAGATGATGATCCTTATGATGACACGGACATCCTCAACTCGGCTGGCACTGATGAGGTCACCGCCCACCTGGCTGCCGCAGGTTCGTCTAGCCCCTACCCAGTAGTGGGATTGATTTCAAATCATGTTTTCTGAACTACCCAGCAGTACCCTAATATTCTGTGAGGTTCTCTATCATTTTGGCTGTGTTGATGTTATTTATAATTTATACCGAGTTGTAGAAGTTGCGTCAGACTTTCTGGTGCAAAGAAGGTCATCTGCTCAAAACATACAAGGCCGTCTGTTGTTTGTATTTAGCGGATGTTCTAATCTCGCTCTGAAGAATTCTACTAATCCAGTAAAACATCCATAGCTGCCTGAATTCAGTGTAATGCTTTTTAATGAACACCAGGTGGTGCCAGTGGAGTGCTTTGTGGCAGCTTTGCTTCTCTGTCAAGCCTGACCGTGCTTTTTTGTAGATCTAATAATAACCACCATGTATGCAGGACATTCGAGATAAAGCTGAAATCAGTGAGGAAAAAACAGCTTTCATAAACAATCTATTGAACATTGTTCACTGTGATTACTAAACTCTACTTTTACTAACAGGCAAACTTGCTCGCTCTCTCTCTCTGTCTTTCTCAGGGCCAGTAGGCATGGCTGCTGCTGCTGCCGTGGCAACTGGTAAGAAAAGGAAGAGGCCTCATATCTTTGAATCCAACCCCTCCATCCGCAAGAGGCAGCAGACTCGCCTGCTCAGGTGAGTGTAAAACACCATAGGCCAACTTTCTCCAATACCTCACTACCATATATTTCCCCTCAACCGTTACAGCGATAAAAATGTCGCTTTCAGCACCTGAGCTCATTGTTGGTGTTGTATTTTATGGCTTTTTATTTGAAACAAGGAGGTAAAGGATGGTGTGTGTTTACAGGAAACTGCGAGCCACCCTGGATGAGTACACCACCAGAGTGGGCCAACAGGCCATAGTGCTGTGTATCTCTCCATCCAAACCCAACCCTGTGTTTAAGGTGTTTGGTGCTGCTCCTCTGGAGAATGTGGTGAGTGTTATAGTCAGCGGGTTTTATTTTCATTATCTATAATCTTCTGCTCTCACAGAAGACTTAGTGATGAGGTTCACATCTCTTTTATATTTCTAATAATCATTTTCTCTGTGTTTCAAAAGTAGTGATTTGAAGTCCATCGCAAATTACTAGAGCCCAAAGTGAGGTCTTCAAATAATAAAAAAATTCATAAAAGAAAAAATATATTCAATTTATAATGCTATGAAAAAGAGAAAGGCAAGGAAGTATTTGTGTTTGTGGCGATGTTTATCAATAATGAACTTGTTGATAATTAAACATGATCAAAAATTTTGTCAATTTATTTTCTGTTGATGTGACCAATAATTAGCCAAGTAATAATCAAGTAGTAGTTCCAGCACTAAACTGAAACAACAACTGAAACACTGTCTTTCTATCCTCTAGGTCAGAAAGTATAAGAACATGATTTTGGAGGATCTGGAGAACGCTCTGGCTGAACATGCCCCTGCTGGCGGAGAGCTGGCCTCAGAGCTGCCCCCCCTCACCATTGATGGCATCCCTGTCTCTGTGGACAAGATGACCCAGGTCAGGCTCAGTATTCTCTCTCTGCTCATCTATTATGGTCCTAACCTCCCAAGCAAAATAACCATGTATATCCCGCACTAAACTTCTGTTATTTTGTAGAAATTGATAAATTCAAAAATGCCGTTTGGTGTGTTGAGACACAAACACAGTGCCGGCGTTCCCAGCAGAGGGCACCAGTTTGCAACAGATCAGAATCACAGTATGCCATTTAAGTCTGATGTGAGCAAGAGCTTAGCTAGCTTTATGTATCAAGGTCAAACACTCAATTTTAGTTTTCTCATGTCCATCAGTGTCACTTGATGAATTTAATTCATGGATATTTAACCAGTATTTATTCCAAAATACTAAATACATTTTTGTGGTAAAGAGTGGTCTCCTTATTGTAATTCAGGCATACAGGATGTCTGATGCCTATGTAGTGTCTATCTAAGGTAAGCCTCCTCCTTTTGCTAGACAGACTGTGGTACCAGTGAGCAGTGAGAGGGTGTGACTGCTCTTGGTAGGCCTTTCACTGCAACATTAGCACCATTGGCAGCCAGAGTCCTCTCTTCGCCCAAGGGAACCCAGCTTGTTTACTCTGCCATCCCAGTGCTGCTGACTCATTCTCTGGATCATCGTCAGAGTAAGCAGCATGGCCATGGCCCTCAGAGATGGTCCTGAACCCTGGGAGCACGGTAGCCAATCCCAGGGCCAGATGTGTCCTCAGAGGGCAGGTGTTAGTTGGTGCTTGTTTTTCTGGTGGTTGTAGGATGAGATTATCAGGAATAAGTAACCTGTTGCCTCACTCAGCTAGGCCAAGCTTGTTGGAAAGATGTGGTGGGGGGGATTTTTAGAGTATGTGTGTGCTGTGTTGGAGACAGGATGCTGTCCTGTACCTCGGGAGAAAGGTCAATCAACCTCGGAAATAGCGATATGAAATGAGAACTCTGCAATGAAAAGGAAATTCTTTCAGACTTAATGCTCCTGATCCATATCAGGTAGACCTTATTGTCTTCTATGCAGTCATCCACAGCAGGTTTTGAGCAGCTGAAGAAATCCCAAGTGAGGTTTAGTGACACAGGCAGAAGCCTCTGGCCCCGGAGCATCTGTAGCAGGTGATCCTGGGCCTAGCCTGAGCCCATAATTACCCCCTAGCCTTGTTAGGGCCAGGGACCCAGCAACATAGCCGCCTTCCTAAATGCTGATTGGACCATTTCTTGGAGGATTAGGATTGGGGGTGGGGGTGGTGGGTGCGAGGACAACATGCCACTTAACTCGCCAGCTACTGTAATTAGGCCATCTGGCCTAGCACGTTGCATCCACACATGGACCAGCCACAGGTGGAAATGCAAGCATCTTTTTGCTACTAAGTCCTTTTTTTCTGGGGCTAATCCAAGTTGTTCTGTCAGTGTGCCAAGCGTCGGCTGAAGTGAAGCCCCTTTACTTCAGCCACCGGATGTTTTTCCAAAGCTGGCGTGAAAAAGTATTGACCATCCATTTTCTATCAAGATCTGTTTTGTCAAACCTCTGTGTGATGCTCTGTATAGGTGGTTTGGGATGGGGGGGTGGAGGGGGGATTTATTTCTCCCGGAACCAAATTTAGCCCGTGATGTCAAGGCAGGCAGGCGCTGCAGTGCCTCATTGTGCAATATAATCCCCCGGTGATGCTTGCATATTACCAGGACACTGAGGACATTGGCACTAACCCCCCCCCCCGTCAGTGAGCTCGAGCGAACGCTTGTTTTGGAAGTGTTGATGCCATGGTGAGTGGATATGCGTGCCGCTCTCTGCTGCACATGAAGTATATATGCTGGTGATGGAAATCGGAGAGAGAGATTAGGACCACCGCTCATTTCTCCTCCTTGCTTTGCAGCACAATGAAAACTTCTCATGGAACATCGCAGACAAAGCAATCATAATAGGAAAATAAGAACACAGGACTGAAACACAATAAAAAATACATTAGGTGAATGGTCAGCTCTCTTTGGGTTATCTGGCTTCATTAAACCTATATTCAGTTGCTAGTGTATTAGTAGGTACACCTAGCTCAAATTATTTACCATTTACCATTTATTTCAGTAAGGTTAGACTAAATATTACAAAAACTATTAATATAACACAATACAGTTCAACCACCACAAACTACAGCCTAGAGAAAGACCATGAAGTTGAATCAACACCTCACTCCAAGAGACAACTAAACATTATAACCTTCTTGAAAATAGGATTTATTGGATTGTTGTTATATTAGCTTTAGTTTTAGTTTGCTGTTCCTAATAAACTGCTCTTGAATTAACTGATTTCAAGTAGCCAGCTGGCTATGTTAAGCCTGGGTTTCACATAGCCAGCTATTTGCAAACTCAACCACTACTTAACTTAGGAGACCAAGACGAATAAATCGGATGGCCCAATATAGTGGTCAATTTTAGCCTTTTTTTTTTTTAAGCTGATAAGTTACAAGAAACTGCAGCAGAGACATCTGAAGTAATTTCAAAATAACTCACTCAGAATGTAAAACTGTAAAAACTGACATATCTTAGTCACAATTCTTTGAAAAACTAATTTTAAGAATCCACATCAAATATGTTAGTTACGTATTTTTTCATGTATGACAAAAGATATTGGCCAGTATATCGTTCAAGAATTTCTAAACTCCCAAATATTGGTAGTGACCGAAAAATGCTGGTAGGTCAGCCTCTACAGATTAATTTCCTCTTTTACAATTAGTGAAAATAACAAGCCCTACCTTTGCGAGATAAAGAATGGACATGCTGTTTGAGTGCTGGCTTCTTAGTGCCAGAACACAACAATCAGTTCTAATGACTTGCTCTAAAGAAGATTGGCTCCCTTGTTTCATTGTGAATGGCACACTCAAAAACAGTCAATCCACAGTAATGAAATAATAACTTGCATCTCTACACAAGTCTATAAAGTAGCACACATCATGCATAATCAAACTTAATCTAATGTTTTTGTTTGACATTGATTTTCTTTTTAACAATATTGACAAGCTTGTCCTTGTTAATACCTACGCTGAATGTCCTGGAGCCTTTGCTAGGACAGGTTCACTGCTCTACTGTGTTGGATCAACCCTGATGTTCCCATGGTGTCTGTCTGACACATCGGGCTGGAGCCACAGCCATTGATTGGTCTGTTAATAAATATGATCGCGTTGTTCTCCTTTTAGAAAGCCTGTTTCTATTTGCAGGCCATGACCACCTCAGCACCCGGCAGCAGGTACCCCGATCAATAGGCGCCTCTTGCTGCCTACTCAAGGGCGTGTGCGCTTATGTGTGTGTGTGAGAGAGAGACAGCTTCCCACTTTGGGGTTTTGGTGTCTGTATCGTCTCTTTACTCTCTGTATCTGTCTTCTGCTTCAGGCCCAGCTGCGAGCGTTCATCCCAGAGATGCTGAAGTACTCAACAGGCCGAGGGAAGCCTGGTTGGGGAAAGGAGAGCTGCAAGCCTGTGTGGTGGCCTGAGGACATCCCCTGGGCCAACGTCCGCAGTGACGTCCGCACAGAGGAGCAGAAACAGAGGGTGAGAGAAGTACTGGTGTAATGATGTCATACTTTAAAGATCTGCAGGAAAATAGTATTTTTCTGCAGATCTTTTTCCATTCTCCCTTCCTTCCAATGACATTTCTTCTTGTTAAGCCTCAATTTCAGCATTGTACAACTGGAGCAAGATATTCTATGTCCCTTTTTGTAAATTAGGTTCCAATGTTGCCCTAAACACAGTACTTGACTAGTACTAGTGACCTGGTATCTGAATACACAGTTCTCTACATTTTTGCAAGGAAAGAACTGTAATCTGGAATTTGGCATTCAGTGTCAGTAGACCATCTGAAGATTTATTGTTAACTTGTATTTATGTTTCTTAAGGTGTCTTGGACGCAGGCGTTGCGGACCATCGTTAAGAACTGCTACAAGCAGCACGGTCGTGAGGATCTGTTGTATGCTTTTGAAGACCAACAGATAACAACTGCAACAACCACCCAGCACCATCTGACCGCACAGAATATCGCTCACCTTGTGCCCTCACAAACTGTGGTACAGACCATTAACAACCCTGACGGAACAGTCTCGCTCATCCAGGTACATTTTGTTGCTTTTTGATCACTGTGGTCTTGCACTTCTTCAAATTCACAATCGTATTCAGTAATTCATTCATTCTCTGTCTGTTCCCTTTTTGTATTTTGTGACCGCACCTCTTTATCTCAGGTTGGCACGGGACATACAGTTGCCACCCTGGCAGATGCCTCAGAGCTGCCTGGTGTGACAGTGGCACAGGTCAACTACTCCACTGTGACTGATGGAGAGGTAACACCCACGTGCACACAGCACATACCTCTGGGTCACTATTTCATAATACAATATAAACACATTCTGATAATTTACTGCATACACAGGCTCTAAAAATGAGTAATGTACAAGGATGTACACATTTCTGGCCTGACGATAGGACAATTAAAAAATGAATAAATTAGTAGAAATATTATTTTTATATATATATATACACACACAAACACACACATTACAAAACTGGACAACAGTGAACAATGGCAAGTAAATGGGGGGAGAAAGAGTTGCACACTACTGAAGGGTCAGTTATAGTTTAATGGGGTAATGTCTATTAATGTTTGCGACAGAAGACATGGGCAGGAGAAAGAGGAGAATCAGCTTGCCAGTTACAGATGGAAGTAATTCCAGGTGTCTTAATAATAAATAAGCTGTCCTTTTATTGCTTTGAGTTTTTCCAGGGATGAATGTTCAGTGAGAAAGTTGAGCCAGTGTGTTATTGATATTTTTGTTCTATCTTTCCAGCTAAGAAGAATGACCTTTTTTGCAAGTGCTAAGGATGTGAGTAGAAAGGGTTTGTGTGTCAAAGATATTTGGATTGTGGGCAGATCTCATAGCAAAGCAGTGGAGGGGCTGTCAGGGATGCCTGACTGTAGTAATAAACTCAATATCAACCACTCGCATAAATTGATAGATTCAACAAGTCTTTCTGAGGAGTTGAGGAAAAGTGGCACTAATTATGAGTCACAGAAACAAAGAATATGAAGCAAATGTGTGTAAAGTGCACTTAATGGGAACTGTCCGTTCAGCACCACAAAATTAATACACAAGCCAGAACACCAACAATCCAAAAAGTAATTTTCACACAGTCTTTATTGCCTGACTACTGATCCTCCATTTGCTTTCTGTATGAAATTATATTGTTTCTCTCCAGGTGGAGCAGAACTGGGCCACCCTGCAGGGCGGAGAGATGACAATCCAAACCACTCAGGCCTCAGAGGCCACGCAGGCAGTAGCATCTCTGGCTGAAGCCGCTGTAGCTGCCAGTCATGAGATGCAGCCCGGAGCCACCGTCACAATGGCTCTCAACAGGTGAGGATGGGAAACAGGTTGCAAGGTTTTGGGGGAATACGGCTTTTAAAGTCACAAGCAAATAGCATTTTGATGTTATTTATGTGGCTTTGATTTTGTGGAGGGGTGAAGGTAACATGAGAAAGAAATGTTAATTATAAAAGCCATACTTACATGAGGGGATTGTGTATCAGAAATTGAAAATGGTTATCTCCAGATCTATTTTAGTAAACATTCCTAATTAAAAAGAGTTTTTATTATCTTTAGTTTGTTTTATTACAATCCTAGTGAATAGTATGTCACTATTTTAGGTGGACCCGTGTTTTATGTGGACAAAATGGCACAGCGTGACCTGAAGTGTAATTAACGGACTGTAAACTATCACGGTGCTTCTAACAGGAATGTATTTCTTAAATCTGTACTATGAATAAAGATGATTGAATTGGATGGTTGTGAATTGTATTACGGATTTAAGTTTTCCAGAGATCTCTAGTGCATCTTGCCTATTACCGCCTCACGCTTCAAAATGTGTAACAGAGAGTAAACGGCAGTTGGATGGATTGTTGGCGACAGAAAAGCAGGAGTAGTAGCATAAAGCGGTCACTTTAGAATTGTCACCCTGCTTTATATAAATATATATACTAACCCTAACCCTTTTGTTTATTATATATTCCGTCCTGTGGTGTGTAGCTTTCACTGACACAATGCTCAAGGGTCTTCAGTTACTGGTGGTGGAGCCAGCAAACACAAACAGAAGAATCCATAATTACTCAGTGAGCTGCGTCTTATCGTAGTTCAGCATCAAATTAATTAGCCTGTAGCTTTTATAGAGGCAGTGTGCAAGGTGCACAACCAATAACAGCTCAGTACTATTTTTTTTTTTTACTTTAAAAACCCCTTGTGTAGGTGTCAAATGCTTGATTGTTTAGGTGTGTGATTCAAGTCATAATAAATGTTGAAATAAAATCACACATAACATAACACAGCATTTACATTTAGAATTTGTACTTGACACAGTACACTGACCTTTATAAGTAATAGGCTCTCTGCAGATTCTGGAAACACTCCTGCTTTTCAGCAACTCTAGTAGTAAAACACGTACAAGGGTTGTTGTTTGTGTAATGTTTTTCTGGAGGGAAATCAGCCACACAGTAATATTCAGATGGGATCTACAACAGGATCTTAAACCAGGTCCCATGGAGAGCCAAGTGTCTGCAGGATCTGATTACAGCGCAAGAGTACAGTGTGCTCATGCAAATTAGTTAGTAGTCTTTGGTTGCAGCGAAAACCTGTAGACCTTTTGACCAAACTCATCAGGCTGAGATGCTGACATGTTAGCTGGCTTTTCACTGCAGTAGTGTCAAGGCAATACTTTCAGATGTGTATGGGTATGTCCCATCGGGGCTTGTTACCTGCACCCACCTGAGCCCTCCTTCTTCTGCCCTCCCCTCCCCCTCCCCTGTCCTCCCCTCCCCCTCCCCTGTTTACCTGTGCTGAGCTACTCGGGAACATTTTGTCTCTGCTTGACAGCTCCAGGGGGAGAATAGAGTTACTGTCTCTCGCGGTCTTTTCTGCTGTGTTGACATTGTGACCAAAAATTAGTAAAGCCCTCTCATTGCCGAGCTTTGACCATTTGATCTGCATTGATGTTGTGTTCATGGTGCAAAATGTTCCCCGCTAAACAGAAAAACTATAAAGTTCATAGCTAGTTTTCTCTTTGCTGTGATTGATTGCAAAATTCACTGTCTGTCACCAAGGCCCGATAAGAAGCATTAATACTAATGTCGCCAGAGTTAACTGCCATTGTATCACTGAACAACATACAGTTGGGCATCATCCACATACAACCACAGCGAGAATGCATCATTGCTGCTCACTGTCTCAGTCTGTACTCTCGCATCTTCTCCTCCCCCTTATCTGTCCGCCTGTAGTTCCATCTCAGATGTGATTATCAGCCAAGCTGTGAACAGTTCCATTAGTTCATAACGAAGCTGGTGTGGTAATAGGCTCGTGGTAATTCCACTGGATAGATCTGGTTAATAAAACTGCTTTGTTAGACCCACAGCACCTGGCCTTTAGGGAGATGTGACAGATTCTCCATGAGTCCAGACTAGAAAAGCCTCTTAGAGCTCATACACTCGTACCTCTGCACCCCATATCTCTCTAATAACCCTTGCCTTTGTGAGCAGTTCGTGTGTGTGTGCGCGCACTTTTCAGCTTTGTATTGTTGTGTGCACGCAAAAGGTTTATTTGCCTATTTTTTACATATTGTACACTATATCTGATGTGTTTGTGTGTTTGCAGCGAGGCAGCAGCCCATGCTGTTGCGACGTTGGCAGAGGCCACTCTACAAGGCGGAGGGCAGATTGTCTTGGCAGAGACAGCAGCTGCTGTTGGGGCTCTGGCAGGGGTTCAAGATGCCACAGGTATATATTCATCCATAATGTTGTCACATGACATAACAATAAACATGCATGCATTGAATTGACCTGACTCATCCAGGTTCCCAAAGATTACAATCAATGGACAGGGCCGTCGATGCATTCCCATCATGGTAGACATTATATTAAAATAGCTGGACCAAAAACTATGGAACTTTGTAACATTATGGCAATATGGGTTCAAACATGTATCACATTCATCCTCCATCTCTGGGATAACATAAATTTCAGACAGTCTTGAATTAGAAAAATGGAACCTTTTGTATAAACTTAAAATGAATGAGTACAAGACGAGCACAAGACGTTAGCTTCCAACAACTTTCTCCCATCACTCCTCACCAATTTGAAGCCCCAGCTCTCCCTCACAAGCAGCCCTTGTTTTAGCGTTGGACTGATCTAAAGAACCAGAATGCAATTATACATCTCTGAAAAAGTCCCCTGATTTTTAGGCAGTTGAAGACTCCTGTAATCTCCCAAAAAGAAATTACAAATACTATGATACAGATTTTTCTATTGTAGTTAATGGAAATACAAGAACGGAAAGCTGAAATCTTTTATCAAGAAATGTTTGGCATCACATCTTAACTAATTGGTACGTGTGTGTGTTCCCCAGCCAATGGCATTTCTAATTAGTCTTGGACTAAGTGTAAGCTTCCCTGCAGTAGCGCTGCGGTGAGACCTCTGAGCCCTACGCTCTAATCTACTCTGTGCTGATGTGACAGATGGTGTGATTTCATGTGTGTTTGTGTGTGTGTGTAGTAATACTCCCTTCTTTTAATGATACGTTAGCTGCAGGACCGTATCGTCAACCTCCTAACATGCATACTGCATTCACTGCTGTGGCGTTCTGTGTGTGTGTGTGTGTCTCTGCTGGGATTGGACCAGTTTGTAATGACATCCTCACATTTTCAGCATATGTTCAGTCAATATCCTGAGGGTAAAACTTAGAGCTAGTGCTTGTCAATGATTAACAATGGGGGACACGCTGCTGATCTGATGTATATTACCGAGTCTGTTAATGTCAGTGGCCTATTGCACATTAATACAGATATACGTGAAAAGTATAAGTGAAACTAAACAGCAAATGATATTGAGTAATTTTTCTAGCCTGTCTTGGTCTTTATCATGATTCTTGGCTTTATTATTGTTAAGTTAGACTTAATGCCTTTGTAATTAGGTGTGTCAACTGCTGGGTCAATAGCATTTTGGTTGTTCAAGATGCAAGTTTGATTCAAGGGCTAATGTTTTTTTCTGTCTTGTTTTGATTTTGGAAAGCATGATTTGATGCATTATTCTTTATATTAAAATATATGTATATTGTTGTTATACTTTCATATTGATTATTGTTGAAGCCAAAACTATTCCATTCGATTTCTTTTTGCAGATTGATGCTTTAAAACGTAAACATCAAAGTCCATCTCTAGCAAATAGTATAACGAGAGGTTATCTTTTTCTTATTCGCCATTTCTTCTAATCATCCTACTACTCACACAAAGTACACTAGTACAGAGCAGGTCCCTCAGGGACCAATCCGCTCCATTATAACTCCATGGTCTAATCACGGGGCCAGCTGTCAGTTATATACATGCACACATACACACAACATATACTCTACATGTTACATGAATACAGACAAAGTACAAGTCTACATACAAAGGTTTTTACAAAGGACACTTTTAACCTAAAGTAGCCTTCCAGTTGTAGGGCCGAGCTTATGCTGCTTAATTTATGTGGACAGACGTTTAAAATTGTTGTGTGAAACGGCACAGATTGTTGCAGGCAACGTTCGGAAACATCGTTTCTTTTGATTTCTTCTTGCATTCTTGAGGGAGAGCTTTGCTGTAACAGTATTTTATAGTTAAAGAGGTCATATTATGCTTTTGCCTTTTTCCCTCTCGTTTACTGAGTTATTCATCTTTTTTGTGCATGTAATAGGTTTGCAAAGTAAAAAAGCCCGAAGTCCACCCCAAAGGGAGTTCCCATCTCCCACAGAAAACTCTGCTATGAACTGCCTGAAAACGGCTCGTTTGTAGTCCAGCCGCTTCCCTTTCATCCCTGTGAAGACGCATGGATGAAAGCTAAATGCGCGTCGTAACGCTCACAAAGCGGCTAGTCCGACACGCCCTCAAAAACAACGATTGAAAAACACTGAGCTGCAGCACACACCTCCTGTCCCTTCCAAACACTAGCTACACTCCAGGCAATCAATGGACATGAAGTTGTTACAGAAATGTAGAGACAGAGCTCATCCAACTTTATGGATGAAAAATACTTTCGTTACAAATTAATAACTCACCACTCTGAAACTCTTGCTCCAGCCCATGTTGCTAAGCTGGTAAGGGGAACATGTACAGCTGAACCAAAGCCTTGTTTACCGGCTTCTCATGACCCGCCCTACTCTGCTTCTGATGGGCTAGTAGTCCTTAACTAGGAACTGCACATGTGCAACTCCCATAGCTAAAACAAAGCTTTCAACATACAGAGTGAAAAGAGGAGCTGCAGCTATGTGCAGGATGACAAAAATATGGTGTTTTTTTGAAAATGAAACCATGTAAACCTTTTCTGGTACAAATAGGATTTGGAACCTGAAAATGAGCATAATATGACCTCTTTAAAGAAACAAAAAAAATAAAATGAATATGTTGTTACAATGGCAGGAATTTGATTCCAAAATGGGTACCCCTTGGATTTTTCCATTAGCTAAACAATTTTTGAAATTGGATTTCATAAAAGTAGTCATAACAGAAAGCACATGCTAAACCATTGTGCATAATGCAAAAATGTTGTCAAATGTAAAAGAGTATATTTTCCCATTTGTATACTATTGTAAATTCAAGTTATTCAAATATAACATCTGCAGCATTGGTTGTTTGACATCTTGCTTCCTAAACCATAAGGAGTCATTTGGCTGCAATAGCTCACTTAAACAACTAATGGAGCTGCCAAAGCCAGTCCTTCTCCTGACTATTGACCTTAGCTAATCACTGTAGTGCTATACTGGAGTGGAAAGCACCGTTTGAAGTGCACCGGCCCAGACACTGCTGATTGGCATGTGTAGCGACCCTTCACTAACGCAGACACACACACACACACACACTTATACATGCATGCAGCCACACCAGACATGGCCTTCAATGCCTAAGTAACCATGTTTGAATGACCGAGTGATGCACTTCACTCAGTAACTGTGCTGTGTCCGTACGTCACCGTGCCAGGCCAATACACCGTTCCGTAAGCCCTACTCTGTAATCACTGCCAGCACAATTACCTGCATCAGCAAAACCTAACCCTGTCACAAATCACTGGCGAGTGGGCTTAGCAAGGGCCCACATTTGAGGACCTACAATTACAAGCTAACCTGACAAATGGGGCCTGATTTTATTTTGGGAGGCTTTAAAGGTGTGTCATCTCAGTAATGTATTTGAAAGGATTCATGGGTAGTGTGCATTTGGTGAGTTTAATGTCCAGTGTCTCAGCTCACAGTAATGGGAGTGAGCATGAGCCACTGGCATCCCCTACACTGACCTTCTTGCCTGCCTGTGACACTGTGACAGCTTGCAGGGTGGAGCAGAAGCCCACGTGACTGCAGCAATAATCCCTGCAGACAGAGAGACATACGCATATACACACACACACACACACACACACACACACACACACACACACACACACACACACACACAGCTGGGCACGGGGTAAGCTAGCTGAGAACCTTCAATCGGACCATTGTTCAGAAATGCCGTCTCTATAACATGGCTGCCTCCTGTCACAGACAACTACCTGGACTTGACTGCCTCTCAAGCACAGTGTGGAACATAAACTCTAGTGACAAGATTACCTCTGGCCAAGGACTGAACAAGCAGTACTTTTTAGCGTCAGGGATTATTTTCATTATCAATGAACATGTTGATTTACTTTTTTCCATCAGTTCAGTTAAACTTTGTCAGACTCGGGATCCATTAGAAAAACATACAATATCATTACAGACACACAACACCTCCCAAAATACCAAAGCACAAATACAAAAAACGCAGAAAAAAAGGTTGATTTTTATAAAAGATAGACCAGTGCTTCCACAGAGGTGACTGGTATCGTACAACGCTATTACTAGGATTTGTCAGCAGCTTAATAATGCCGTTCTGAGAGCCATCTAGTCGACAGATAAATTTGTACATCAGATTTCTAAGTAGAGCCTGGAAAGTGTTGTCAATAAACAATTAATTTTTCAGTTTATAGAATGACAGAAAATAGTAGGATGCCCATTTGCCAGTGCACAAGGTATTGTCATCACATTGCTTGTTTCATCCAAAACACAGCCCAAAAACAGATGTTACCATTTTTCACTGAATGATTAATTGATCGTCAAAATTCTTGTTGATACATTTTTGTCAGTCGACTTTTCTGAATGGTCAACCTGGAGGAACTGAACAACCAACTCCTGAATATTGGGAAAATAATATTACAATCTCACAGCTCGGGCTGTAGCCAAAGTTCATTTGCATTATCAAATAATCTGTTGATTATTTTCCTATTGTTTTTTCTATAAAAAGTTATGTGAGCCCAAGGAAATATTTTCAAATTGTTTGGTTTATCGGACAAATAGTCCAAAACTTAAAGATTTTATAGTGACATTAAAAAAAGACAAAAACAGCAATTCCTCACATTTGCCTGGTAAATGACCCATTAATTAATAGATTTCTGTCTGACTAATAGATTTTTTTTAATTAAATAATTATTTTAGCATTAATAACAGCTACTGGGATAAAATAGATGGGCACATGAAAAAATTATGTTGATCCTTGCTTGGCATTCAACCCTGGTGCTGTCTGTCTAAATCCAAAATATCTCTCCATCTTCTCCTCAGGTCTGGTCCAGATCCCGGTCAGCATGTACCAGACTGTAGTAACCAGCCTCGCCCAGGGCAACCGACCTGTCCAGGTAGCCATGGCACCTGTCGCCACACGCATAGATAACACTGTCACGCTGGACGGCCAGGCGGTGGAGGTTGTGACCCTGGAGCAATGACAATTACAACTCTGGAAGGAGTAGAAGGCACTGAATGGCCACCTTGGAGATTTGTTAATTCTACTGTTTTCCAAGACATCACGCTGTGTACAATGTCAAATATATTTTTAAATGTACATCTGCAGGGGAAGTAAAAGTGAGTTATCAATGCATTGTGTTTACTATGTAAAGATATTGCTTTTGTTGTTGTTATTTTTCTCCCATTTAGCGTCATGTTTTGTTGTTTGTTTTTTTTAGCTCTGTGATGTTGAGTATTTAGTATTTATTTCTTTACAATTAACCTTTACTTAACACAAACATGAACCAAAAAGCCCGGGAGACCCAGAGTGTGTAACTATCACTGTCCTTGATTTTCATAATCGTATGTGCTTGATTTGTTTTCGTTTTTAGGATACATTTACAATTCAGTGCCATAGTCAGAAATCACTCCTCTCTGTTTCCCATATCCTTGATCACTATTCTAAATTGCACCCTTTCCACTTAAATTCCCCTAAAACTATGTTAGTGTATGGAAAGACACTCCCAGACTTTTCTCACATTAGATGACCATCACACCGTCTATCCGTGTGCTTTTCTTGTGCTGTTTTACGGTAGTCCACGCACATGCCAAGACTTGTGAAGACTCAGGATATACACGAAGGTGTTTTTTTTATTGCTGGACTGCTAAGCTGACTTCCTGAAGCAGCCATTTTGTCCATTTTGACCAAATCAATTTATTTACAGTGCATGGGCAGAAGCACCCCTTGGTATGTTTTCTTTCTTTTTACATGAACTCCTTTGTATGTCACTTAGGACTTGTGTACTGCATCACTTTGTATTTCACAGGAAGTTAGTCATACTTGGACAGGAGCTGCAGTATGTGTGATGCACATATCAAAAAAGCAATTAAATCTTTCAACAAAAAAGCAACATAATTCAATGCAGCTGTAATATCTGGTTCAACTCACCACTATTTAAAAAAATAAAGTTCAATAAAATGGCTGCTGTTCATACTTTGATTCTGTTTCACTCTTGATTATTAGACAGTTCATCCAAAAGTATAACCGTCAATGGATACATAAAAGTTGCATTAGTCAGTGTTTTTCATATTAACATTAAATCAAATGACGACGTGAGAAGGGCAGCTCTGCAGCTCTACATAGCATTTTAGCATCTTTTAGCTAATTGCTGTGGTTTGATAAATTGCGTGTTTACTGTATAGTTAAGTCCCACTGTACAAAAGATGTCAAACACCAAATGGTGACAAAGTGCACAAAATGTCTGGAGAAAGTCCTGAATCCGACGGTTTCATACTACTTGACAAAATCCAAAACATTGAGACTGTAGTGTAGACTTGACACTTGACATGCACTTTGGGCATTTTTATTTCAATGACTTGGTACCCTTTCCAAACATACAGTAAATATGATAATACTGTTAAATCCACTTTTTATCTATTTATTGATCCAATATCATCAATCTGAGAGAATCAAATCATGTTGCAGAATTATGTTGAAGCTAATGTAGTGGTCAGTCCTAGGACTTAGCTATAAGCTAAATATCTTTGCTAACATGAACCTTTGACACAAACAACCACCACTGACGTGGACTTGTCTGTCTTGAATTGTCTCCTCCCACCTCTTCCATTACAGCAAAAGAGATACGGGACACTTTATGTTAGACCTTTTGGTGTTCACAACAATGTCTTCCTTTTTTGAGGAATGCCACATTTCTGAGCAGCATTTCGTCCCATAATGATATAGTTGCCACTGAACCACACTATCCTCTCCAGCACCCCCACCTTCCCCTGCCGTGACAGACAGGGCCATGATTACATCATAAGCTGCCTGAACCTCCTCTGCTTTAAAGCCTGGGATTTGCTAGCCGGGCCCTTCTGTTGCAGAGTAGAACAGAGAGAGAAGCGTTCAGGCCTTAATCTATCAAGTGTGTATCCCACTCTTCCTCCAGATTAAAGCTGAACCAGGTTGCATTCACAGATGAAAAGATCCCATTTTCCTCCTTGTTTTATGTTGTATTCTCCCCCATTTTAGATTGGACTCCCTGTGTCAGCTGGAAAACACTTGTGGGCCTTTGTAGGCAAGGGAAAACCATGAATAATGTTTGAGTCTTTGTAGGTATGTGGCATGCATGTGCATCCAACTGTCACTGCAGATTAAGAAGGCCTTATTAGTGTACTTTCTTGGAAAAAGGCCTACACCTCATGCTACCTAAGCCTCTCCCTCCTCCATCTTTCTCCCTGCACCATCCATCCACTCAGATACACTTACACAAAGTGCATTGAAACCTTTCAGCTGTATCATTAAAGCTGAACCCAACTGAGTTATGAAATGGCACAGGTTCAAAAAGGACAGAACTTGTCTCAGCCAATTCCAGTCTTAAGATCCTTTCATCTTAGTTATTATAAATGTTTAAATGACTAAAATCCTAGTTTTTGATCAGATGTATTCAATTTAAATAATTCCTTTTTAGATATAACTAAAGCACTATCCAAAAACTACTTTTCAAATGGTTGAGTTACATTCCAAAATATGAACTAAAATATCTCCAACCTGCATTTGCCAAATGAAGAACTAAATGAGAGAAGGTATTTTGTATTTTAAAAGTGAAGTCCATTGCTAAGAAAGAGATATTGACTTCTGAATTACATTTTTCCCAACCTGCCTCTGCAGTATAGTACTTTTATATCAAATTGGAGTAGAAGCTATTTCCTTAGATCCAACACTGGAAAATGTATTTTTATAGCTGTACTGCATTGTGTGACACAACCAGTTACCAGTTACATCATCATGCACCACACCGCAGTGTACTCTTCCAATCATCACATCCATCCGACTGACTTTGAACCTGATTGGATGTCATTAAACCATCCAATCAAGGCAGTCAGGATGCAGTGTGAGTGCTTGTGCTCTGTCCTGGGGGCAATATATTTAGTGGTGGAAGATCACTGGGCTATTGATTCTCCGCAGCCAGTGGACAAGGCTGTAGCCAGGGCTTCGGTGGCCTGGCTCCACAGGGGTCACTGCAGGGTGAGAAGGGAGGGGTTGGTCATTCTTGTTGCCTGGAGTCGTGCAGGCAGAGCTTTAATCTCCACTAATCGTTTCTTAATACTTGCATCCCAGGCCCTACACCCCTGCACGCATGCAAACACGCACTCCCACATGGGCACGCACACATATGTACCAACAGCTCGAGGTCCAAGCCCCCACTTGCTTTGACAAGAGATAATCTCCTACCCCTCATCCTGAGCATAGGGTTGGGTCACAACTTAAAAAAACATCCTTCTCAGACAAGGAAATTAACTCTGTGACCTGCAAATTTGAAATGCTGTTCCTCAAAGATAATTATACAGTATGTCACTGTCTAAACATTCCCAAAAATACATTCCCCATACTGTTGATCCATGTCTGACCCACTGGCCTGAGGTAGAAACAGTTTTCTCATTTGTGAAAATGCAGGACAAAACTGTAGAATAAATACTTTCTTCTTTCGATCTCAGTACACATCTGGGCCTCGTGCAGAGTTTCCACTGAAGCTTGAGTATCAGCAGACATGTTGCAGATAAAGCATCTTCCCCCATAATGTAGTCTAATAGTCTAATAATGGTATCCTCACCTTCTCAGCTCACACCTCTGTCCACCTCCAGCCCAGACACTGCGTAAGAACGATGATAATCTCATTTCACTAATGCTCTGCAGCCTGCATTAGAACACAGGCGAAGCACTGTCTCAGCCCGACTCTACCCACCCAGGAAACTGTGTGAGTGTGTGTGTGTGTGTGTGTGTGAGAGAGAGAGAGAGAGATGGAGAAAGGGGCCAGGGGGGCTGTGGGATAGAGGGGGCACTGAAAAATGCGGTGTAACTTGAGCTGCTCGGCCCATCTGGAGAAGGCCTCGCATTGACAAGGGTTATTCCACAATGCACTTTGCTGCAGAGAAGATCGTTAGAGGGAGTCTGACACATGTATCAGTCTTTGGAATATATTTATTTGCATGACAGATATAGGAAATTGTATGATTCAAAAAGCAATATGTCATTTGAGAGATAAAAGTCAACGGGAGTGCACACAGAACAAACTGAGAACATTGTCACATTCATGTGGCATTGTCAAAGCCCAGACTGTGTGGTTATATGTACACTATACATGTCATATGTGCGTGATATGTTCTGTAACATGAGACACAAACACAGTTAAACCCTCTAAGGAGGCTCTTTTATGTCAACTAGTCTGTGTATTATCCACTCTTGTTTTGTTTTAATGGTGGACCCGAACAAAAGCAAAAGAGCCTCTTCACAGGTCCAATGACAACGTCCATGTAGATCAAATATAGCTAGCCTGTAGGCAAACTGGTAACAATACAAATCATATTAGCTAAAGCTGAAATGTAGGCTATAAAGCAGGATTTATGCAAAGGCCAAGGCAGATAAAGAGGTTTTAATCCTCAGATCGCCCTGTCACCTACATTAGCAGACCCTGACCCAGATATACGGAGCTCAGTATATGTAGCAGCTTTTCAAGCCATACTGTCAACGGACTGTGACAGCAAACCAAACTCACATATAAGAAAGACTCCCTCGCTTTCCACCTTTTTCGTTTGGGAAGGGACCAGGGAAAAAGGCTGCATTGAAAGAGGGGTAAGGTGACACCACACGGTTTTCCAATTATGCCACGGAGCTAAGAGTGGAACCCCCCTGATGGTTGGCTGAAGGCAGAAAAGCCGAACCTCTGTTCAACCATTGAGTCCCTCATACTGCAGAGCTGCACTCACTTGATCTCACTCTGCTGGTCAAACCTGAAGACAAGAATGACGAATGTGGAATCCATTATCCTCATAACATTATCATCATAGAAGAAACTGCAAGTCATCAGTTTCTTCCATTAAATGAATGTCGGGATTGAACTAATGATTATCTTCATTACTAATTACTGGTCTACGTGAGGAAAATTGGGTTGTGGTAAAATGCCCTTCACACGTTCCTTGAGCCCACTGTGATGAGTCAGATTGCTTATTTTGTCCAACCAACATTCCAAAACCCAAAGATATTAAAATTAAAGAAATATAAACCAGAACTTGAAAAGTGTTTTGGATTTTTTTCTTGGTAAATGGCTTCAACAATTAATTGATTATCCAACTAGTTGGCGAGTAATGTTCTGTTGACTAATTGTCTAATAGTTTGAGTTCTTATTTCAGCATGAGAACCTTAAACACTGACATGTTATGATATCTTGGTTGACCAGCAGTATTATACAAGGTAACATGTTAGGTTGTGGTGATAGGCTTGATCCATTGATTCCATCAGAAACTCTTGTTTCAAGAAACATTTAAAGGTTCAGTGTGTACGTTTTAGTGGCATCTAGTGGTGTGGGTTTTGCGAATTGCAACCAGTGACTCACGGTGCATTCACGTGCTCCTCGGACAGTCCCATTTCCCAAGATGTAAAGTCGTTCTTCCGACTTCAATGTGTGTTCATGTGCTCTTAAGTAGGAATGTGGAATCAACATGGATGCTGCTACAAAGATGTGTTGGATTAGCATTATCAGAGCATACAAACAATACACAAACATCTAGTTTATTCTACATGGACAGCAAACTAACCGCTATAACCATATTACAAATTACATGTATGCAAAATATGTATATGCAATATGTGATTTTGCACAGATCAAAGTTCTGTATACTTCTTCCATGATCTGTCGGCTTTGTGCTAAATACTACATGTGAACCTCCATTTGTCCAAATTTCACTTCTTCTCCTACTTCTAATAAACCAGTCTACCACTACTACTAGTAACGTTACTTCTTCTTCTTCTTCTTTGTACTTATTCAGCATAGTGACGAAACACACTCTGTAGAGAAGTCCATTTGGCTACTGTAGAAACATGGCGGCACAACATGGTGACGTCCATGTAAGAGGACCAACGGTGTATGTAAATAGAAATGGCTCATTCTAAGGTAATAAAAAACGGTTTATTATGAAAAGGTCTTTATTCATACTGAAAAC